CCGAGCCCCACTTATAAAAGGATTCGGGAGGAAATCAGTGCCGAAGCTCCCCCACCGACAACCGAGCCGGGTCCATACTGCCCCCCGGCCCGCCCCGAGGGCGGGGTGTGCCGGGAGGCGGGCTCGGTCCGGTTCTGGGCTCGGTCCGGGCTGGAGGCGGGCTCGGTCCGGTTCTGGGCTCGGTCCGGTTCTGGGCTCGGGCCGGTTCTGGGCTCGGTCCGGTTCCGGGCCCGGTCCGTGCTGTGAGGCGGGCTCGGTCCGTGCCGGGAGGCGGGGTCGGTCGGTGCCGAGGGGCGGGCTCGGTCCGTGCCGAGGGGCGGGCTCGGTCCGTGCCGAGGGGCGGGCTCGGTCCGTGCCGAGGGGCGGGCTCGGTCCGTGCCGGAGGCGGGCTCGGTCCGTGCCGAGGGGCGGGCCCGGTCGGTGCCGAGGGGCGGGCTCGGTCCGTGCCGGAGGCGGGCCCGGTCGGTGCCGAGGGGCGGGCTCGCTCGGTGCCGAGGGGCGGGCCCGGTCCGTGCCGAGGGGCGGGCTCGGTCGGTGCCGAGGGGCGGGCCTGGTCCGTGCCGAGGGGCGGGCTCGCTCAGTGCCGAGGGGCGGGCCCGGTCCGTGCCGGCGGGCAGGAGCTGCGCTCGGCAGCCGGAGCTGCAGCAGTCCGCGGGCAGGGAGCGCCCGCCGCCGCCGCTATGGCCCACTCGGTGGTCCTGCGTGGCCCTTCGCCGTGGGGCTTTCGCTTGGTGGGCGGTAAAGACTTCAGCGCCCCGCTGACCATCTCCAGGGTGAGCTCGGAGCGGAGCGGAGCGGGCGCAGGTGATGGGCGGCGGGCGGGTGGTACCCGGGCCCGGCGGGTAGCAGCGCTTGGGCTCTTTTGAGCTCCAAATTATTCTATAGACACTCAATACACTCAAGTAAGTGTTTCCCTCTGAGCTTTGCACTGTTTCAGCTGCCTTTCCCAGTGTTACAGCATTCTCCATGCTTTAGTTTTTTGGATGTTAATTCATAAAGATCTGCTTTCAAAGTTTTTAGTGTTCACAGGGTTTGGATTTGTGCCCTGGACTGACTTCACAGGCTGTTGGGGTTTTTAAGGAAGGCATGAGTTAAGTCAGCAAGAAGTTTCTCTATGCAGACTGCAGTGTTCTGGGGTCTATGTGGGCTGGTAATAATTACTGTGTAAGTGTACTCACACTTGTGTTTGACCTCACAAATGTGTATTCTGGAAAATTCTTTGCTAAGACACCACAGATAGCTTGAAATAGGCTTTGTGTGTAGATGTATGTGAAAACAAGCCATCCCCCATGCAGGAAGGCTGGCGGCGAGGTGGTGTGATGGGCTGTGTGATGGATGAGGTGCTGTGTGTGAGCCGGGCACTCTGCTTTTTGGGCACTCACGTTTCCATGGCCGTGTGGCTGCCATGGCAAGGGCTGGGTGCCCTGAGCTGTTTTGCCTTCCCGGCATGTCGGGCTCTCTAGCATTGCTGAGCTCCCCCGGGCAGCTGCTGCTGAAGTTCTGGAACAAACACTGAGTGCATTTGAAAGGAGCTGTAACTTAAAAATACTGTTGTAATGCACACAAGCTGTTTGCCGTCTTTTCATTCATCTATCTGCCGAAGCTGTGACAGAAAAGAGAAAATGCATATCCTGAGTTTTGAAGAAATAATTATGGAAGAGAGTATGTGTTAAAGAGATTTAGTTTGTCTTTGAGTTCAAACATGTCTATTGCATGGCTTTGTTTCTGTTTTTGCTTTGGCCTGTCCCTTTCCAAGTGCTCCAGTGAGGGCTGTTTTAGAGGAGTAACAGGAGGAGATGGATGGAGGAGAGCGAAGGCCAGGGTGGGGCTGGCTGTGCAGCGCCTGGGGCAGGTGTCCACACAGCTGGGGTAATGTGCTGCAACAAGGGGCACTCGGCTTTTGGGGTTCAGCCTGAACCTCCTGGACATGGAGAGTTCTATTTCTCCCCCGGTAACATGGGATGTATCAAAAATCACTTCCCGGCAATTGTAGAAATGTTCTTGTTGTAGAAGTGAACATCTGAACTTAGTAGAGGGAGCCAGTTTTCCTGTTACTTAGGAAAAAAAAAAGCCTGCTTTAATATTAAACAGGAAAAACCTAAGTCTGCTTCTGCCTAGATAGGTGGCTTGCCAAATTTCTTGTTTGATTCAGCAAACCTGGGAGGTGTGAGGAGGATGATTCTCCTCAGGCCAGGCTTGCTGTGGATCGCCAGGAGTTGTAATGCAAGAAGCAGATGTAGGGTGTTATTCCTTTTGACAGCCTTTTAAATTGGATCCTTTTTAAATTCTGTTCCCACTGAGGAGTGGGCTGATGCTCTGATGTGCTGTACTCTAACGCCTGCTCCTAGAGTGTGGTAAACAAATCACCAAGATGTAAATAGAGATGTAGGGTGCTCTGCTTGGCCTCTAGTCTCTAGACACAAGAAAAGACCTCACTTGCTTTGCAAATAGTGCCTGAAAATGTTAAAGCTGGGGAAGAATTATCTTCTGCTAGAGCGCCTGGCCATGGGGCTGCAGGAAGGAGCTGCTGGAGGGCTCCCTGGGGAGCCTGGGCTTTGCTTGTGGTGGGTCTGTGCAACCCTGCTACTGTGCAGAGGACTGATCATGGCTGTTGTGATGCCATATTCCCTTTTATTCTGTAATTGTCCAGGAAATCTGTCCTTTCTGGCTTTAGATCTTGGCAAGGGGGCTGGGGACTTCCCATCTCCAGGAATGAGAAGCCTCCATCCCCTTTGCCCAGCATGGCTCATGGCAGGAGATTCTTGCTAATTGTGGAGGCTTTTGGCTGACTTCTGCTTCTCTTCAAAGTGCCTTTCTTCTTTAATTTCAGTTTTAATTGTTTCATACTAAAATGCCATTAAATTACAAACATCTTTGGAAAAGCAGAAATTCTGCCGGCAGGCAGGACCACACTCTGATTCCCACATCCAGCTGTGGGCCCAAGATGCCAGCATGTTCTGGGTGTGCTGGGCTGCCTGGAGGATGTGGCATTGCTGTGTCCCACTGCTGGGCACAAAGGGGGCTGAGGATCAACGTGTCACAAGGTGTTTGGGCTGTACAGCTCTGTAAGTATCCTACCTGGACTGGTTATGTTGAGAAATCAGGTTGCAGTTTGGGATTTAAGGCATCCAAGGCCACCCACATGCAGCGCTGGGTGCTGGAGGCTGGAAATAATGAAAGGAGCTGCCAGGGTGAGCTGAGGAAGAGGCACAGTGGTGCAGGGCAGAGAGATGTCAGGTAGGGGACAAAGCTGAAGGCAGTCCACAAAAGTGTCTTGTGACAAGATATGGATCAATAAATAAATGACCATATATGGATTTGTAGCATGGAACATGACAGTGACCCTGTCCTGCTTTGGGATCGAACTTGGCTTGCTCACAAGGGTTTACTTTGGCCTTTAGCCCCTCTGAGGTGGCTGTCTGTGCAGGTGCTGATGGTATTCAGTCTGTCCCTGGCAGCTGTCTCAAATAGGCTCATGACATTAAGCAATGGTATTTTTCTTTTGAAAACAGGTCACTTCCCTCTGTGATTTTGTAAGTCCTAAGTGACAAGGGGTAAGGATCTGATTGCTCTGCTGAGCAGCTGATGCTGAACTCTGCCCTGCAGAGGCCAGGGCTCCAAGTGAGGTGGTGTTGAGTTCCTTGGTATTAAAAGCAAATCCAGAAGGGCATGCTTAGTGCGTCTCTCTCATGCAGTCACATGAAAAGTTAGGTGTGCTACAGCTACCCTTTTATCTCCTGTTTCTTCCTGTATATTCAGGAGGACCCATAGCAGCAGGGCTGGAGTTTGCTGGGCTGGTTTGGGGGCATGCAGCTCTGGAGGGTGATACTGGTCTGTTGTCAGCACAGTGCTGGAGGGGATTTGTAGCTCCAGGCTATGCTCTTGGGGGGAAACACAGTAACACAGTTTGTTTTATACCCAGTGTTAGAGTGAGCTAACATTAGGTGTAGGACATCACATCATTAATGGTTACACCTCCTAATGATATTTATAGGGGCAGGAAATGATCCAAAAGATCTGCTTCAAGTTGACATTAATGATGTGACAGAAAGTGGTTTTAAGATTTAAAAAAATTTCTGGTAGCTGCTTTTCCATGGCACAGCAGGCTAATACTGGGTGCTGTGTTTGCCCTCTGTGGGAAGGGGGTTCCCTGAGGCTCTTACTCCACTGAAAACATTCATTTTGACCAGCGGCCATGGCTCAGGAACAGGAATGGAATAACTCACTTGGATGTTCTCAGTATTGTGCTTGCAACCACATGAGTGAGTGCTATGGTTCTGTGTGGGATCACAGTTGATCTACCCCTTGCCTGGGATTAAAAGATAATCAGTCATTAGCGTAACTAGAGAAGCTGAATGCATTTAATCACTTAAACTTGCTTGTCCTGCTCCTGGAGCAGCTGATGTCATTCTCTGCCCAGTTCTGTCAGTATTAATCCATGCACTTGCTGTTTTTGAAATCATAGATAAACTACTTGGCTAAACAGATAATTGACAAATGGACCAATTCCAGTATTTTTTTGAATGAGATTTTAATACAATTTTTCCTTTATCTGCTGGTTTCAACATTACCCGCTGGTCTCTAGTGGAGCAGCAAAAATGCAAGTTTCAGGGTTGGCTTGGAACTGTAACACAAGAAGGATGAGAAATAATTGGTCTGCAATCCATTATCCAGGTATTGTTTGAGTTAAGGTTGACTTTTAAACTTAAGCAGCTTTCACATTTGAGCAGAGACGTGTCCTGTTAAAGGTTAGGATACTCGAGAAAGAATTCTGCTGAGGAAGGAACTCCAGTAAAAGTGATTTTGTTGACTCTGTCAGGGCAGCCAGCAAATGCCCAAGTCTGTGCTGTGATCCTATGTGAATGCAGAGAGAACCCACTCAGTGGTGTAATATTTGTGGAGGCCTGGGAGGTTTGTTCCTGTGTGGGTGGGGATGGCTGAGCAGAAGGGGCTCCCCAGAGCGAGGGCTGGGAGTGACAGGTTTGGTACCCCAGAAACTCCACGTGTGTTGGTGTAGAAGGCAAGGATCAGAGGCAGCAGCAAAAGGAACAGGAATTTTGTCTCAGTTTGAGACAAGTGAGGAGGATGTATTTCCATAAGGTTGTTGTTTTTTGGTTTCACATAATTCTTATGTATTTGATAGTTTATTAGATGGAAATGATGCACTCTCTGTTCAGAACTCCCAAAAGGACTGAAGAAGCTGCTCCATGTTGCTGAATCCCAAAACTACGGCCCCACCTGATTTCTGCTGACTTTTGGTGGGTTTGCTGCCTGTGTAGAGCTGAGTGATGAAAACTGTCCCTCAGTTGTTTGCATAGTAAAGTTGTTACAGTATTTCAAGAGGGATGATTATTTCAAGTGGAAGGAAATACTTCTGCTAGTCAGTTTTTGTTTTTCTCATCATTCCTATAAACTCAGGGCTGAGAGGTCTGGGTGTTTAAGTGTGAAGCTGTGCTGGCACAGAGCAGTTAATCTGAGCTACAGATAAGAACAGAAAAATGTCACAAATATATTTGCTGCTGAAGTGTTTCTATTGCTGAGGCTTTGTTTAATAACTGAAAGAGAAGAATAAATGCTCCTGCTGGTCAGGAGACAGTAATGGTGGAACATACTGGAATGAAAACCTAATACTAATTACCGGAATTAAGCACACTGATAATCCCGAGTGGGAAAGCAGGTGGAAAGAGTGATTCATGTAGATCATTTAGGCAAGGTCTGACCTTGGGGCAAGTTAACAAAATAAACCCAGTGAAAACACACCAGGCTTCTGCCA